AAAAAATTGTCTTCGAGAATACGTGTACATGTAGATCAGGAGGGGTCAGCAGGGGCCATGTCTGCTGTCCTGTAAAAGGCAAAATCATGAAATAAAGGGGAATTTTGGGTTTATTTCATTTCAGCCAAAAGCATGTACTGTATGAAAATCTTGCCAAATTTTTGGCCCCTACCAATGAACAAGTTTGCCCGTCCATCCCCCCGTAAAAGTTTGGTTCTGTATCTACCCCGCTTGGCATTATGTGAAAATCCCCAAAAATTTGCCCCTTTTTTTTTGGTACGATGCGTAGGGCGGCATGTTGAGGCCTCCATTGACCCCTCTCCTTGGCTCCGCCTATGCTTAACCACTTCCTGCCGGGCATTCCGGATCCGGACACGTACGTGTTTGCTTTATATGCGTGGCCGGGGTCTCTGAACTCGGACAAAGGGAACAGGGTCTTGTGACAAAAGACCGCACTCGGAACAAAAGACCAGGCTGTCAGGCTAGAGCGGCCACCAGACAGTCCTTCACATTTTTGTAAGTGTCGAGTAAATGAAGATAAGAATTTTAAAAATATTTTGAAAACAGAAAAAAATGATAAACATCCCGGCCCAGCATCATCAACATTGAAAAATGCCCCGCAGCAAGTGGTTAAAGGTTTGTACATGTATTAACTTCATATGAAATTTGTAACTGTAGGACCAAGAAAGGGAAATGAACCCTTGCGACTGGTGGAAAGGTTGGGGAAAAAGCAGTTACTTTACTTGTAGTTGGGGTTCGAAGCAGAAAAAAAGGAAGCACTCTTTGTGCCCTGCAGTCTTCATCCACTGTCTCACAAAGCGTTGTTACTCCAGAATGCTCCTGGAGAAATTGAAACCTTGAGCCAAAAACATGTACACAAAGACAACAAATAAAATCATGCTCACGGAGTACTTCTCTCCTCTTATTTCACCTGTCTTAAGAAGATTCCAGCTTCCGGGTGCGGGTATACATGTAGGGCGCTAGCTTTGCAAAAGACTTATATGGCGGCACTCTTTCCGGTTGGCCTAAAAAATGCTATCTCCTGCTTTCACAGTATATGGCCCCCATTGACTCTATCATGGGATACTCCTTGAAGATCAGACATCCATTCAGGGAAAGGATCACATTTTTTCGATTCACGAGCTGCCGCCGACAGCTTCTTGAATTTCCTTGTGCAGTGTTTTATTCTTCCCCCCTTTATTTTGTGAGTGTGGAGAAGACGATACGGGGCAGAAAGTTGAATTGATTTCAGCATCCGTCCTCAGCCCGCACCCGACATGAATTAAAACATGGATCCAGAAGCTCCTTATTCAAGGTCCCCATGGGAAATGGAAGATGAGGGATTGTTGAGGAAGAGGTGCTTGATGTAGGTGACCCCAATTCTCTTTCATGACACAGATCTAGAGTTGCTGTTTTCTGTGGCTAGACTAGGGTTGTAAAGTGCGGCATTTCATGGCCAGTCTCTTACCGGTATGTCAGCCATTACTTAATTCCTGTTTTCAAAAGTTCAGGTCAAATCATGATTTTTCAAGTGAAACATGATTTTTTTTTTTCTCAAACTGAATTGCACCATTTATGGTGCAATATTATTTTTTTTAAAACTGATAAATAGTGAAATTCAGTTTTAGAGAAAAAAATCATGTTTCATATTTTCATTGTAGTGATGAAAAAGCCAGTGCATGTTCACAAGAGATACCTGTATCATAAAAAAAGACCAAAATTCTAAAGTTGCTTGTTGAACACGTTCATGGATGCATCCTTTTCAGAGCCAAAATGCTTGGGAAACTCATGAAATACCAGTACTATTATTTTGGCAGAAATTTCCGCAAAGAGTATTCAGAGATTCTTCCCCTTGGAGTAAGGAGAACTGGAAGATTAGCTCCAGCCTTATTTCACAATATCAGGAAGGCCAGTAAGCTGATTTATACACTGCAGATGTAGGGTAGGTTTGTGAGTACACGCATACTGTATGTACATGTACTGACATGTATGTTGTGTTGAATTAAGCCTTGAGCTATTCCATAGCAAGCATACACATACTAGGTGTAATTACAGCCCCAAAATTTCATAGGTAATTACATGTGCATATCCATCTGCATGTCTCTTAAATGGATTAAGGCTGGCTCCATGTACGTTCTGTCACATGTATCAGCAGGGTACAGGATTGTGCGTCCATGGCCTGACTTGAATTATATTAAAATGCACCCCTGCAGATAGGCGCATGCATGCAAAATAAATGTTACCAGATCCCATAGTTCGTCATGTTAGATACACAGAGCACATATTTCAAATGAGTCTCGATGGCTAGACGCCACCTGGCCAGACAGAATCTACTGTTTTTGGTCATGTTGGTTGGCAACAGACAGATCAATTTTCTGGGCATTTGGAAGTAGTCATCTCCATGGAAGAAGTTCGTCAAGATAAATTGTAATTGCTCCAGAGGGGCTCCACGAGAAGAAGAAACTGATTTGCCAATTCGCAAAAAAACAAAATGGGAGGAAAATGAACAAGTACTGTAACGCCATATTTGCAGGCTTGTTGCTGGTGTTAACATGAGTATACTACTGAGTTTATGAATGGGGGGGTAATGCACTAACTTTACATACACATGTACCTAGTGTGGACTTTTGAACAAAACATATGCCTAATTGGGTCATTCCATGAGGTTGGGGCACAATTTCTGATGGTGTCCTTGTTACATGGGTGACTTTTACCACCTGTCATGACCTGTAGAGTAGGTCATTTACTCTGTAAAAATAACACCCACCTCTGTATTCAGTCTTGCAAGATGTATAAATTTGGAGTCCACATGCAGGGAAATAGCTGTTAATTTTTACAGAATCCCGCAACAACGGACACACAAACTCGTGTGCCCCAACCTCATAGAATGACCCAATTACGCAATGCTGAATACATCTTTAATTCTTCAAAAGTACATGTACACATACATGTACCAGTACTATATGTGTACTATACTTGTAAATGTCCAGTACATTTCAAAACCATTAGGCTCTCCGTGCAGCATCTGTGGGGACAGCCTCCCATAATCAATCCTCCTGTACTAAAAATACACTCCATCGGTGATGGTAAATGACGGTAGGCCCCCTATAGGCAAAACAAACTTAGCGATCGGGCGATGATCGATGGCGAGTGCATGCATGAAATAATAAACTGGTTTGTGAACCGTATATCCCCTTGCTAAGGCTGTGTCCGAAAAGGACTTCCAGAGCTACGGCTAGGTCTATTGTCTGCGCCTCTCCACGCATTTCCAATGGAGCGAAGACGTAGACCTAGCTCTAGACAACAGATTCGGATGCAGCCTAAGTGTAATTAGACTGGCTTTAATTCCACATCTTCAATTTTGATAATGCTTATTTCCAGTTGGGGATGAGAATCCAGATGAATTGAAATGTTGGAACCAATCTGATTCAATAAATCTATACATGCACCAGTAGCTTCTCTGTTTTTGATGGGAATTTTCTCCGCCAATAAAACCTCAAGCCAGCTTTTGTATTAAACTGTACCTTGTTACGTAAGCCTGTTGAGAAAAAAATGAAAGGGTGAGAAAATTGAGTCCAAGCAAGTGGTCTCAAATTGACCTTAGATTAATTTTCAAGTTCAGAAAGTGCCAAGGCAGGCCTCAAGACCTCCAATACTGTATGTGTAACAGGGCAATCCCATCGATTCCCGTTGAGAACCAATATGGACTTCACAACAAACTCAGTAGAATTTTATGGATATGCCAGAGCCCATTAATTCCCCCAAAGTCCTCTTGTGTCCTGTTGAGTGTTGTTAAAAATTGGACATGTTGGAATGGGACTTCCCGGGGGACCAAGGGGGAATTTTCTCCAGAGAAGAATCGCAGTTTCTTTCCAGCATGTGTGTACGTGTGCATGTGGTATTTAAGTAATAAATGCTTGGGTTTTGATGATGAACATTGGTCGAAAGTTGGCAATTGGAATGTTTTGTTGTACTTGCCAACATTTGATCAACATCCATCATTGTCAGTATTGTTTGCAGATACCCATCAGGTGGCATTTTGTTTCATGTGTCCAAATTTTGATTGGATTTTTTTGCTTTGTTTTGTTTTTGTAGGGGTCAGTGAGAGCTAAGATGGCCGCCCACAATAGCGACCTCAGGGACCAGGTTGTCGGCACGCTGCGTGACAACAACGGACCAATGGAGACCCTGGCCATTGCGCATTCCCTCGGTCTGCGCACACGCAAGCAGATCAACCCAACGCTGTACAAGATGCAACAACAGGGGACCATCTTGAAGGTATCAGAATCCCCGCCCAAGTGGGGCCTCAAACATGAGGTCACGCTGGGCCACGAGTCGCAGGTCACAGGTCACAGCTCTCCTCTGAGAGCAGCTGCCTCCGCCGCAGCAGGGCCGGACGATGCGGAGGAACGTGACATGAGCTTGGGGTCTGAGAACATGCCCAGCTTGGAATATGCGGGGTCAGAGGACATACCCAGTTTGGAATATGCGGATGATGATGCCGCAAATGACCTTGCCGTTCCCCCCGAAATGGACAGGAACTATGACCGACATGCTGGTGAGGTCGGAATGCAGGGTCAACCAGACCGTTACGACTACCCACAAAATGAGCGAAAGGTGCAATATAAAGACTCCCCCTTGCGTGAAAGTCCACAGGGCCCTCTCCAGTATGGGGATGTGCCTACCACTGGTGCTTCACAGGGAGATTCCATTACAGAAATGGAGGGAATGAAGGAGACGAGGGGAAATTACAAGGATACCTATGGTGCTGTCAGTTTTGGCGGGGACCTGCAAGACAGCTCGGTTCCCCTCCCCCTGAGCTCCACTGACGAAATGGAAAGCTTGGACCAGCAGGACACGGCACGGAATGGCTTCCCAAATGTTCCAACCATGGCAGAAGCCATCGAGTTCCTCAAGCCCCCCATGACTCAGCTGGAGAACAGGGGCGGCCTGCACCACAGGCTCCTCTCTGTCCTCTGCACCATGACGGAGTCCATCCACTCCAATGAACTAGCCAAACTGGTGGGCCTTCGCTCCAAGAAGGAGATCAACCCCACGCTCTTTGGCATGCAGAAGCAGGGTCTGGTCCGAAAGGTGTCCGAGTCACCGCCTCTGTGGGTCATCACCCCCTATGGACGGCAAGCCATGCAGGGTCAGGAGCAATCCAACCATCAGGTTTCCCAAACACAACAGCGGTTCCCAAAGGTTCAAAGCGGACCCTCCGAGGGTCCTCACCCTTCGCAGAGAAATCAGTTCCAGCCCCAATATTCACAGCAGCAACAACAGCAATGGCAGTTGCAGCCATCCCAACGCAGAAGCCCTAGAAGTCAGCCTCCTGCGAAAAATGACAGCCATTCCTGGCACTTCCAGGGGCCACCGCCTCCGCCAGCCGTTCTCCTTCAGGGTCAAGGGGGATCATTCCAAGCTGGCACAAACCCCCCAGGGGATCACAGAGTTGAGGTTAATCACCTCGGGCAACCTTACAGCAGCGAATGGATAACTGCAAACCGAGACACTCAGCAACACTCATCTAGTTCTGCCAACCGTTATATTCCACCGCTGCCACCACAAAACAGCAGTGAGTTTGAGCCCTATCATGATCATGTGCCAGGCCAGCCTAATTCTTATGATACCAGGACCAGCTCCAAACCGCCAAACAGCGAGCAGATTAATCAAGTTCTTCAGGCCATGTCCAGTGGACAGACTCTCACAACAACGGACATTATGAAAGCCATTGGTAGCAAAACGTCAAGGGACATCAACCCGACCCTGTACACCATGTTTAGGAGCAAGCTCCTGGAACGAGTTCAGGAGGCTCCACCCATTTGGCGGCTGTCTCAAGTGGGACAAGAAGAAATGCGGCGCCTGCTCCCGGGCGCGGCGTCACCTTGTTTACCCCGAAATCCCCAAGAGCTGGTCCAGCAGAATTCTGGGTGGCGAGCCGGACCCAACAGCCTTGCTAGCACCCAGCCTCACATCATGAATGCTTTTACAATGAGTTCCCAAGGCAACAGTGACAGTCCAGCCACTTTGCCCTCCCACAGCGCAACAGGGCCACCATCCCATAATGCAGTGGGGCTTTCCCAGAACGCATCAGGTTCTTCCCAGAATTTAGCGGGTGCCTCTGTGAGCAGCGAGATGTTTGGAGCCATCAACAAAAACCCAATCAGCGCACTGACGGAGTACGCCCAATCCAGACACCTCCCTGTCCTCATCGACATGGTAAACCAACATGGCCCTCCACATAATCCAAGGTAAGTGTGAAAAATAGATTAACTTCCACAAAGCAAGCTTTGTGCCAGAGGCTGCAGTTTGGGCCATTATTGTTAATAGACAGAAGTACATGTATATCGCTTTCATTTTCTGTAATCACCAACTCTTATCTACATGTACATGTAGACAGACACTTTGGCTTCCTTTCGAGCAAACTACTCGTGTTAACACGAATATACTCCTGGCCGCTCTAGACCCACGGGTCAGCAAGAGTATACTCTTGCTAGAAAGGGATTGTACTTCTGCACCCGAGTGTAATGCACACGCATCGTACTCCTGTTAACAGGAGTAACTGCACGAACACACCCCTTGTGTTAAACTTATATAAAACAAAAAAACCAGCCAACTTTACTCACCTACTGTATCATTCTCTTAAAAATTGTTGTTTTGCAACCTCAAAGCGGACTGTGAATTATTGTATATGAATGTTGATATTGCAGTAGTAATTGTGTCCGGAGCAAGGGGCTTGAGTCCTTTTACGCAATTAGTATTCACAAGATCGGAGCAAGTCTTGAATTCTTTGCCAGGAACATTAACAGCGCGTGTCGTACATGTACATGGATTCTGAACTCTTACCAAGATTTTGTATCTGGAAAAGAAACCTTCACCAGCTCGTGTTTTGGAGACTCATAATAAAGATTCCTTTGAAACGTCTTTGACATGGTCCGACATGTGCGCCCGGTGAGTCATCACCCACTGCAACATTTTAACCACCTCCTGGAGCTTGCATGGACAATGGACATGAATGATTCAAATATGGAACTCGGTACAGATAGTGTGACAGATTCTGTGCTGATGCTGCATTTCTGACCTCTTCATTTTATTTTGTTGGCAATACACGGTGTGCTGTATGATATTTTACCTTCATGATATATGCACATGTACAACATGTACAATATGCATGCAGTCATAATGCCAAGCACAACAGCTTGTCTTGTCTTGTCAGCCACACTGTGACCATATCACTGTGCCTTTTTTTAAAAATTAAAAAATTTCACTTTTTCATATTCTTTCAAAGTTTTAAATGTTTTTTTGCATTATATAGTTATCGTGTATGCATCAATGTTTCCAGTAATCAACACACTTGTACATTGGAGTTTGCTTTTGCTCAGGTAGAGTTGGTATCACATGACAAACTTCTTCTGAACACTATTTGAAAATACCGGTACTCAAACATGATCTATACAGACATGTGGATTTTCAGCCAACTGAGGGGCCAATTTTATAGTGCTGCTTAAGCAAAAAATGTGTTTAAGCGTGAAGAAAACCTTGCTTGACTGAGCAGGTTTCCAGCCAAAACTTCTTGTGATGTATATTGTTTTGGAATGGTATTTACCTGCCTTTTGGTTAGCAAGACAATCACACAGAGTTTGAGTTAGCTTTGTTTATTAAGCGAAACTTTTTCGTGCTTAAGAAAATTCTGTGCTTAAGCAGCTCTATGAAATTGGCCGCTGGTTTTTTTCTTGGTGACAGGTTCACGTTCTGTGCCAGGGTCGGCAATCGCTCCTTCACACAGATCACAAGCCGCAGCAAGAAGGATGGACGACGTGAAGCCGCCGATGTGGCGCTACGAACGCTCATCGCAGAGGGCAACTACCAAGTCAAAATGAGCACTGCTTCCCTGGAAATGGTAAATTCCTCACTGTGGCATAATTGCAACAACTTTAAACAGTGTGTGTTAACAAAAACTGACAAGTATTTACACATAAAAAGTCTAAACTTTGTTTGGAATTTGAATATCAGTGGAGAATGACTTTTTTTTCTGAAATAAGTACGGAAGTGCATTTTAGAATGTTGTTATTTCTCTCCTGGAATTTGGAAAGTTTTTGTCTGGTAATTGAAAACTGTACCAATTCCCAATATCTTGGGACCTAACTCTAATATCAAGATGGTAATTCTCAAGTATGGAAGTAGATTCATGGAAACAACTACCAGTAGAGGCACTAACAAAGTGCCTCATTGTTCAAATAGGAAATAAATAATGCCCTCAGCTGTTCATGTTCAGAGCCATTGGCACAGTGTGATCAGCGTAGAACAATGTCTGAATTACTCGGCTACGGATTTGAAATTACACACGACTCGATGCAGCCACTTCCCATCGAGTCATGTGTAATTTTAAGCCGCAGCCAAGTAATTCGGACATGGCCTATGCTTCAGATTGTAGTTCTGTGGAGAAAAGACATGTTGAGTTCAGTGTGAAAAAATTCACATCTGATTTTTATTTTAATCCAGGGGTCCTTGATTCAGAGTGCACCTGACAGATAAGGTATTACCTTTCCCGTCTGATCCTTATTTTGTTATCTTTGGCACAATTTTCTGGCCCAGACCCCTGGTAACGGCACCACCTTCTACGACCGCATTGCCGGCCTGAGTCACCAGGCCTTCAACGCCATCGCGGCCGGCATACCGGACAACATTAGCGGCCGCAAAGTGCTGGCCGCACTGGTTATGAAGCGAGGGGAGGCGGATGAGGGGACGGTCATCAGCCTGGGAACAGGTAGGAATGAGAGCGACCCCCACCCGCAACCTGTCCTGTCCGCACCTCTGTCACTCCTTACATTTCCCCCTTCATTTCCCTCCCCCCAAAACTTGGTACACTTTGTCGCCCTACATGTACATGTACGTTACCCCTTCCTTTTAAACCTGAAAGAGCTTGGTTATTTTGGATCATCTCACAGCCGAGAGGGATGTGGATTCCCCTACCGCAGCTCTCCCTGAGCACTGGGATTGGCTAATTCTGTTCATGCAATCAATGTTGTGAAGGAAGTCAGAGTGCATTGTTGGTAACTTACTGCTGTTACTCAATGTACCAGGCACTTTACATATGTAGGTGTATTCGTAGGTTTACATGAGTCGTAACACCCATGAAAGCATTGACCAATGTCGTTGTTCAAATCAATAGACCTTATTTATGTTGCAGCCATATTGGATCTTATTCCCTGAATCTATTTCATAAATTGCACACTTTTAATTAGAATGGCACCAGACTGTTTTATGATGGCTATGCATTCCAATCTCCTCTTTCAATATTTTTCTAAATCTGGCTCACATTTTTGACTGTTTACTCACAAACTTGAAATTATTCCTCAGATTTAGCAGGTACTGATTTCTCATGAAATTTCATTTTACTGCTGTCATTCCTACATGTACCTTCAGCTTTTAAAAATGAAGAGTTACAACCCCACTCTCAATACGGACGGCTCACAAAGAAAGTCTGTGCTATCCTGTGACGATTTGAAAACAAATTAGTCGGGTAGCCTGAATAATTCAACCCACTGTAAGGGTGATATTGGGTCATCAGGGTAACCCCAAACCCCTCTTTAATGTCACACAGTCCTCCCACTCTTCTGCAATCATAATTTCCTCCACTGCCTAACCGGTGACATTGGTTTTTCAATTTCGGAAAGGGGGGGTTCGCAACTTACCGGCACACCTCGTCTCTACTCAGCTGGCTGCATCCTCTCATTGTAGCATTGCATTAAAATCCTAACCCCCCCCACATCCTCACCCCATCAACAATAATCGATAGTAAGCTCAGCGAGAGCTCACGCGTGCCACCTAATCAAATTCCCCATCCAAAGTGTTAGGTGCTCCGAATGCAACATACCGGTGCTTAATTGCCGCCGGATCCCCTGGCCAGATCCATAGCCGAGGGTGTGAATCCGCAATTACCACCACCAAAGATACCGTTTCACGTACCTTCCTTTTTTTTTCTGTGCTGTGGGAATTCCGAGAATGCCGGAACCCCTTGCAGGGAGAAACATAACAGGCCGAAGACCGACAGTCGCACTCTCACCTCGACACTTGAATCGTAGTTACCGGGGGCCATTTTGGGGGGTCACCTGGAGGCACATTACCCCATGCTCATTCTCTTTTTGACGTGCGTGCTGTGCGTGTGTGAGCCTCTGAGATGCGGGAAAACGAGATGTGTCAGAGTGACTTGACAAGTTAATACCTGAGTTTCTACAGGTGAATCGCTGTGTTAAAGAGCAATACAGCAAGGGCGCATGCTCTTGTCAATGACATCCCTTTTTCCCCACAAATGTTATCCCGTGTCTAAAGTCCCCAGAAGTCTCCAAAATCACAGAGGAGGTAATCAGATGCAGCTCTGGATACAAATTGTGGGATGAGATTTGAAGCTTTTTCATGCCGGAGGTACATGTACATTGTTGCAAGTAAACTAGATAGGTTTGTGGCAGCACCGTGCCTTTGGATATATCTCTCTTTTGAGTATTTAGGGTTCCAGTGGTACTCAACATTTCAGACAATATGCTCTGTGACAAACTAATCAATGGCTGGAGTAGAGAAGGAATATTGGTTTTGAAGGTTTGGTGGCAACCACCAAAATGTCACTTATTAAGAATCTCGCGGGTCATTGTCTAGTCTGACCATGATGCCTTTCTTACGTGTACATATTTTATGGAACATATTCATGAAACTTGTTTTAAAATTTTGTTTCAATACATGTATGTGTGGTTTTTGTTTTATTTTATTTTTCTTTTGTGTTTTTTGTTTGTATTTTTGGGGGGGCAGGCTAATTCCATTTCAAAACATCAATAGCTACAAGTAAGCAGACACAGGTTGAATGCAAAAGGGGACTTTTGGGTATGATCCTTGTTTTGATCAATTCCATTAGACCATGACTTCAGCGTAATTTATTATTTAAACAGAGCCCTACATCATTCATGCCTCTCTCTTAGATGTCCACAAAACCATCTCAGACTGCATGCTTCACTGGCCTCATGCTGCACTCTCGTCTTTACTTTTCATCATTTTTTTTCCCGCGCCGACAGCCTCTTATCCCATGTGTTCTGCAGCAGAATGCCTTCTGGCCTCCAAAAACAAACCTGAGAATGCCAGGAGTCGGTATTTAATTTGGACGTAAGGTGTTGACACAGATGTGTGAGACAGAGGGTCCGCGCTGTGTGAGATCGTCCTGGCTGTCGACAGAACTATCAGCCACAAAAATAGTGTTCGCTTCAGGTTTTAGCGAGTGAGGATAGAATTACACTGACGTGACCACACTTAGCTTGGGGGAAAAAAACTTAAGAAACATGTTGAAGAAGACAAAAGAAAAGAGTAGGGAAACGGAGATGAAAGGAAAAAAAATGCTATTTTGATGGTTTATCAGTTTGCTCCCGTTAAATGTTTGCCCTTCCCCATCCACCCACCCTCCCAACGGAAAGAGCCTTACCCACTTTTTAGCGCTGCCCATGTGTCTGAAATTCACAGGATCTGGTGGCTCGATGGAATCCAAATCAACTGGAACACTGAAAGCAAAGCCAAACTTGCCAGACAAAATTCTAGCTACTCTTGCAACTTTAAGTACCTGTAACCATTCTAAAAGCTGCCAAAAAGAAGGAAGTGGAATTTCAGTTGAAGTTCTTCCAGGGTGTCTTAAGCGATCACATTTTTTTAGCAGTTCTGAAACTTCTGAGAAGAAAAACATAAGGAAAGAAATGAGGCAGATGCTTGGACAAATGAGCTACATGTAGGAACGTTGTCAGTCAACCCAAGCAAGGGTTATTCCTCAGCCTCAGATTTTGGCCAACTATAAAAGATCTTCTTGCTCAGTGTGAGTCAGTGTTCCGCTGCAGGGACATCAAACCACCTGACATGGCATCAAAGAAGGGAATCTTTTCACTCTGTCCGAACTAAAAGGGCTTGCCAATTGGCTCCGGGGCCCAGAGAAGAAAATGGAAAAGCTGAAGATGAAGTCGATCTATGAGAAAGCCCTGAAGCGTTGTCGCAAAATTGGCCATTCCACAGATACATTGTGCTTGCCATGTACCACCGTCTTGGGAGGTGTACGGTATTGTGCCTTGTTGTAAGTCGTCAGAAACTGTCCCACAGTACTTTTCAGCTGTAGTCCTCTGTATGCGCATCATCCTAAAAAAATTGGGGTCCATTTTTTTTTTTCATGTCCCCATTACATCTACGATCATATGATTTTGTGTAAAGTTTAGAACACGCTTTTAATTTCCAATCGTGATGAAATTACCTACCCAATAAGTAGAAATAGTTGTAAGTTAATTTCAATGATATCTCCATGTCAAATGACGGTACACAGGCCGGGTGTAAGAAGGGGAGCAAAAATGTCATACTTTGGGACCTGATTTTAGAGAAGGACCTTTAAAACATGGTATCTTATTGTTCAACTATTTGATATACATTGTCTGCAGCAAAGATCGTATAGCGCTGCGTAGCGGCGCAAGATGGGGAACTTCACCATGAATACGCATAAACGTTGTTATTACATGGGCGCCATTCTGGTTGGACTACGCCTGCGCAGTGCATGTTAATGCACAGGCGCCGCGACAGGCACGCACACACATGAACGTTCACACTCGAATGGCGCCCATGGTGATAACACCTTTATGGCCGAATTACCCATCTTGCGACGCTACGCGGCGCTATATAATCTTTGGACTGCAGAGTGTGCATGTACATGATGTCAGTGTATTTAATAGGTATTGGCAAGTGTGCCCAGAAATTAATCTCAGAGGTTGGATATCTATGCCCGAATGTACGGCGTTTAACCGCGACAGAGGGTCACAATAGTTGATGTAGAAATTGTTTTCTTTTTTGCACATTGTTTGATAACAGGCATTTTACAAGATGTTTGTAAGAACCATGTCAAAAGGCTTGCCGGAGAATACTTGCTCTTGCTCAGAGAGGCCTTACTGTCGTGGGCTTGAGGCCAAGGCAAATCTACATATTGTTTTTGAAAGTTTATTTTTAAGGATCAGTCATGTATAATTTATATTTTGTTAGAAGGGTATGCTCTTCATTTGTGAAGTTAAATATGTTTCTGTCATCTTGAGGTCATTTTCTCTTTGTGTTTTTGGTAATTTGTAGGGAACCGGTGCGTCACTGGCGACATGCTCAGTCTGGAAGGAGGCACAGTCAACGACTCTCATGCTGAAATTATCACAAGACGGGCCTTCTTGCGGTGAGTAGTTTTAATGATCCCTTCTGAAAGTTACCCTGGGAACCAGAAACAGACTTTGGCTATGTTTTACATTCCCCGCATCTGCCCGCTGTGGCACGTTGCTCCCAGCACTAGCCTCCAACTTTAATCAAGCTCGATATCGAAAGCACTTTTAGCTCATGATAACACATCAGGCATGCCATGTTGTCCGAAGAACAGCTGCGCTATTGACTCACAGGGTTTAAAGAGCCACTTTCCAGCGTTTTGGAGGGGTTCAGTCTGTTTTCATTGCATTTGTTTTCGTGTGTGTGCTTATTTTTTCCGTTCCTTTTGGCAGCGTGTCTGTCATTTTAATCTGCCCCCATGAAATGCATTAGCTACCGGTAGATCCATTATGCATAATCAAAAGTGCGTTAAATCCTGAGGTGCAAAAGCCAGCTACACACTGGATATTCCACTCCCAGCTGCCGGCATTTTCATTCCAGGGGTGGGAGATGGGGGCGTTGCATATTTTTTTTTCAAAGGGCGTGCCGTAACGGAGGGCCGTGCGTCACAAACAGTTGTTTCAATGACGTCGATTGGTTCATAGTGCACGGTAGTCGCTGTTAGGAATCCACTGCTTCCAAATAGTGGGCAGTTCTCCAAATTCATGGAAGGGGAGGGTTGCAAGTAACAGCTGAATGGGGAATTTGTGCTATCAGATTGGTCATCATCCTTGTCAAATATTAAACTGTCTGACGTGTGATGTATTTTTATTTTAATTTTTTTTACTGTATTATTGTTTCCCACTGTGTTTTCTTTTACATATTTGTGTTGTTTGTGTTTTTCATTTTTTTACTCCCGTTTGGAGTTTATTTCTATTCCGTTGTAATCTTTTAAAAATCTTCATATTGTAGTATTTTATTTTTTTTAAGTTCATTCATTTTAATGTAGGTTTTTAATGTTGATTTTTTGTAAGTGTTATGACAGGGCTTTGTGAAAGATCACCATTTTGGAGAATAAGCTACCCTGTATAAATATGACTAATAATAATCACACTAATCATAATAATGAAGAGAAGATGGACTCCAAGTGGTGCCATAGTGTGTCCGTTGTGTGACCATTATACACATCCATACTGTAGACTCGTTTTAGCTCTCTTTCTGACAAATCTTCTTCAAGAAAAAGACGACTTTTTTTTATCTTTGCCCCTCTTCTTTCATTTTTATCTTTTCTTGTTTTTACTTTCTTATTTTTTACAATTTACAAAGTATTTAGGGGGGGGGGTGATCTGTTATGTGTACCCCACCCTGCCCAGCTCATCCTTCAGCGACATGTTGTAGAGAGACTGAACTTTTTGAGAGCCCCGGATGATGGGAAGAGAATCACTTTAAAAAAAATACTTGGCTTGGAATTGGTTTTAAAAAATTGTTCTTTTGAGAAAAGGCAGTGGAATATCCGGAAGAGGAGGAGAAGTTGCCCTTTTTTTTAATCGAAAGCACTGCATTTTAGAAACAATAGTTAGGGGGTTAGAATTATTTCAGGAATGACAAAAATGGACTGTCAATTTAAGGGGGAAAATGACATTTTTAACTCAGACCTAAGACCTGGTTACACCCCCTGTACAGGTGACACGTGTCCCTCCTTCCTTTTCCCCCACCCCCCAGCAGAGGTCCATCCCCACCCCTAATCCCCCTTCAGTCCCCTCGTTTTTTTAAATTTTGAAATGTACACAACCTGTGTACAAGCTGCAGCACCACTGTTTAAGACCCCTCCCCCTTCGAAAAATGTGTGCCCCCCAAGGTGTCCAGATCCCCCTCCTCCAGAAATTTTACCCCCCCCCATTAAGCACCACTGAAGAAAAAATCCAACATGCATCTTTGATGCAGTATTTGTCAGCCGCGTCATCGTGTAGCAGGTAGCTGTCCCAACCCAAGGTGTCGCCACAGTGTAGCCATGTGCCGAAGACGCCAGCGTGGCGAAGTCGGCGGCAGGCGCGATGGAGATCACACTTCATTAAGACGGGGCAATTTAAATGTTAATTGCAGCCCGGCGAGTGTCGCACATTGTGGCCCATCTGCAGGGCGCGGGAAAGCAAATATAGCGACACTGTTATGATTTGCGATGCGGGTTCAGGAAAGGGTAAGAGCAACGTCAACACTTGCGCAGCGCTCTCTGAGTGCACCTTACTGTAAGATTCTGCTGAAGGGGATTTATGATTTGGTTTGCTTTTAAAATACGGAACATATTCTGAAGTACATTTACTGTATGTGTTCATTGCTTGGAGCATTGTGAAGATTCAAACTCGATTTTGACTAAACATGTACATTTCACAATGGACATAATGCATAGATGTATAAGTACGTATATACATGTACATGTAGGCATTAAATACTCCCTCGATCCCTTGATCCATGCCAGAGTCTGCAAAATGGCCCTGAGATTGATCCAGTTCAGTCTTTTCATGCAGCCAGAAAGCTCAATGCAAACACGTTAACCATCTCTGCCCCAACCGCTTTGTGTTTGCACCATTCTATGCCTCAATGCTATGCATTCATGCCTCAATACCTCATTATAAGACATTGAGAACTGCAGAGATTTCAATATCCTAAGTGTTTTGGGCTGCATTAGTGAACGTTCATATACACATGCATTGACTGGATTTTTTTTTTCAGGGTTTAAATATAGGGTAGGTACCAGTGTACAGGACCGTGCTAATTCATCTTGAGCTTCTAAACACAGAACCGTGCTAAGCTGTGAAAACCTTTGCTTAGCAAGAGAGTTACAAGCCCCAAGCTTATACACTGTGTATTTGTCATTTGTGCTGTAGGTTCGTCAGTTATTTTTGGCTCAGCAAGCAAACGTGACCAAATACCTAAACACAATTAGCCCTAAAGTCACCAGATCAACTTTAAGCTCACCCCTGTTGGGGGTCAATTTCAAAGAGCTGCTTAAGCACAAAATTTGCTTAAGCGTGAAAAATCCTTGCTTGACAAATCAGGTTACCAGCCAAAACTCCATGTGATATACATGTATATTGTTTTGGAATGGTATTCACCTCTCTCTTAGTTAGCATGGCAATCACATAGATTTTGAGCTGGTTACCTTTTTTTAAACAGACTTTTTTGCACTTCAGCAAATTTGGTGCTAAAGCAGTTCTATAAAACTGGCCCCTGCTGTTCTTCCACCGTGGGAAACAAGAGGAACCTTCAACTACTCTCACCAAATTAATGAACATTGTCATCGTGATGCCAACCTGAGTGATACATCAAAACATGCAACCCAGTTGCACTTCCTTAATCCAACTGGAACAAAATTCTGAAAAAAAAAATTCTGTCTAAAGACTTGTTTTGCAAGATCTGGTCACGAACTTGTTCAGCAGTATTTTGTTTGCACGGCATCCTTACCAAATTGGGCCACGTAGCCAAGAATCATTGATTTCTCGCGCATGTGTCCGTGTCTCGCATGTGTCCCATGCAAGCTACCCTTGCACACCTGAACTTTAATTGACGGTTTCCCCTGTTCAATTCTGCGATCGCCTGCTGTCAGCTTGAAAAATCGTCATCAGGAATATTTCATGCCAGTCGCACGTCCTGTGCAGCCACGCGGGGCAGAGGTGTGAAGTCCGTGCGGGGGCATGGCAGATCAAATTCCGAGTTGAAGATGACTCAAATGTGGCACGTTTGGCAACACGACAGTTGATGACGAACAGGACTCAATATTAAGCCACCAGCTCAAGGAAGGTACAAATGTGGGGGAAGAGTCGTATAATCCCATCGTCCATGATGCGTAAGATTACGGCTTTGCGTTACTGTCTCAAGAAAAGACCCTAATCATCATTTATTCAGTCATTTATCCATCATAAAATGAGACATTTATGGTTGATTAAGTTTCTAAAGGAAAAAGTACCGGTAGAAGGGGGCTCTATATTTTCCATCGTCTGTATCTTGAAAAACATTAATATGGAATGAGACTACATGTAGTCCTCTGCTTTACAAAAATAAAAAGGTTTAAAACACACTTCGGTCCTTGTCAGGTTTTAAATATTTTAGAATGGTAAATTTCCTGTGTTATTATGGCAGAATTAATTATAAAAATTCCTGCGAAACACAGAGATCAGACCAGAGATGTGAGTAAAAAAAAAGTTAACCTTACGCTGATACACAAAAGAAACTGTCTGCCATCACACCTTCTCTTGCATGTCACGTTTGTTGTTTTGACCGCACATCCAATCCTGAGTCGATTCTGTTAGGGGCCATGGTACAGTATATTTTGCCATAATATCCGAGCAAAGAGGAAAGTAGGCACATTATTGAAAGTATGAGGAGCACCGTTAAAACTGTAGCGTAATTCTGTTTTTGGTAGACACCTTAAAGCAAGAAAGTTTCTTCAATTTTGATAACAGTTGGCACCCTCTTATATTTTTCATGAGTGGAGAATACTGAAATAAGTAATAGCATTTTTGATTTACCCGTGCACAGCTGTAGTGCCAAGCTGGCTTTTATCAAAGATCCAATAGGAAAATTTTGTCACCATCTTGTTTGAAGAACTGGTGATTTGGAGCTCAGAACCCCACATTTTCCTGAGGCATGCCTCTTCCTAAAAGAACATGACCAGTATTGCTGAAACTTTTTATAGTCGATGCCACAACCATGCAAACTTCTAAGTCTTACTTTGAGAATTTTCTATTCAACAGAAAGACAAAATGTGAATAGTCTTTTGGGTTTTGTTTGCTGGTTCCAGATATCTTTACAACCAGCTGGCTGAGTTTAAACAGAACCCGGACAACACCATCCTAGTGGAGACCTCCCCAGGTCGGTTCAGGGTCAGGCCGGGCGTGAGCTTCCACCTCTACATCAGCACCGCGCCCTGCGGCGACGGCGCCCAGTTCTCCCGTACCGACGCCGGGGAGAATGCAGAGGGGCCCGAGGGGTTGGAGTTCAACGGGCAGGCCCAGCACCTGCCCACCTTTGGCAAGAACATCCAGGGCCTGCTTAGGACCAAGATGGAGTATGGTAGGTCTCTGATCCTGTGTCCAAAAGGTGTGGCTAGGGCTACAAATAATGCATGTGCATATGGAAGCCGCTAGCTAGCCGCTTCCCATAGAGGCATGTGTTGCTACAGCCACTTGAAATGAACATAGCCTCAGGTGTTCTGTAGATATGGAGTGGCATTCAGGGTTATTGCTGATCAAGTCATTTCAGTGAGTATGAGTTCAGTCACTAGGGTTGAGTCTGAGACTTGATTCGGGTCGCTTCACGTTTATTGTTCCCTTCTTATTGATATGAAACTGACCAGTGGTGTAACCATGCCTCAGGGTTAGGGTTCCAAATGTTGGACGAGATGGTTCAAACCATCCACCATGTGACGTTGGTCAAATTATGGTCAACTGCATTTGTCACTCAGACTTGCCCCATGAGAAAGACAGTTCCAGTCTGCTGTCGGGCCCGTTTGTTTTACTTGGAACCAAATCTCATCAGTAATCTGTCATTGATTCATTCACACCAGATCCCGCGTAATGGATAGATGGAGCCAGTATTTGGATCATTGATTAAGATCCAGATCTGTGAGAAACAAACAGATTTCTCGTTACATCCATACTACATAACTACAGGCGAATTGAAAGCGAAGCGAGTGCCGCAAAATTTCCTTCGAGTTGAAATGTGCTTAACTTTTGTGAAATCACAGCATGAATATTTAAGCTGACATCACAAATTTGCAATTGTGTTCATTTTCCCACCTAGTATGAACCAGCCTTTATCCTGTTTTTATTCTCGTGCCCAGGGGAAGGCACTATCCCCGTGGATTCCAGCCACCCGGTCCAGACCTGGGACGGCATCATCCGGGGTGAGCGGCTCCGCACCATGTCCTGCAGCGACAAGGTGGCACGCTGGAACATCCTAGGCCTCCAGGGGGCACTGCTGAGCCACTTCGTTGAGCCTATGTACCTCAGCTCACTGACATTAGGTAAAAGAACGAAATTGCCCAAGGATGCAAGTTCATCACACTCTTGACGAGAAATCTGTATGGGAGCGTTTCCTCTCTGCAGAAAACACAAGTTCAACCTTTGCCCTTCTTTATCCATTTGCTTAAACCAATGATTAATGTTACAGGTGCCTGCCAGTAAGCATCTTGGGACATGCTGTGGTATCTCAGCTGATGAATTTGCTATTAAAGCGATAGTTTCTGCTGAGCAGACTGTTGACTTTACTCACAGCAAAAACGCGCATCAAGTGGAAGTTCACAACATTTTTAACGACCACAAACATCACCTTTAATTTCCCAACTGCATGGAGGCACGCAAGTTTATCTGGAATCCAAGAGTGGAGAGAGGATGCGACAGGGACCCCGCCTCCTGTGAAGAGAAAAATGCTGCTTGAACGGCTATTTTGTTTGGATCTGTTTTCCAAAGGCATGTAAAAGCCACAAAAAGTAGAATTAAACTGAGACAGGTTATTTAAAGGTTACATGACAAAATACCCACAAGTTTTGGCCCCATGAAAAGGCAATTTGGACCCCCTCCCCTGACTTGTCTTGGTCACTTGAGGACAGACAGAGTGTACTCTCCGAACCGTGGAGTACCCTCTGGTTTTTTTCAGAACCGCACATGCTCAGACAGATATCCTTGCATGGTGCTACCGCAAACCTCTACAATTTACGCGGTTTTTGCTTTGTCGCGGACTCCTCTTGTTTGTCGTTTTCTTTTCTTTTATTCTCTGTTGCCCACCTGTCCTCTCCCAAGGTTCCCTGTACCATCACGGCCACCTGTCCCGGGCAGTCTGCTGTCGCCTCAGCCACTCCGTGGACACCCAGGAGCTGACAGCCACCTTGCCGGCCCCCTACAGCGTCCACCACCCCCAACTGGGCTGCGTCACAGCATTTGACCCTCCTAGGGGTACGGAAAAGACCAAGGCCCTCAGCATCAACTGGTTCGTGGAGTGCGGGGGCCCGGAGGTCACCGACGGGACGAAAGGAAGGTGAGGCCCGCGTCGTATTTTGTAAATATGAATATGCATGATGTGGAATGCATTATTCATGATGAGCTTACTATTGCCGCCCCCTTTGCTCCCTTTCAGGGTCCAAGGGGTGGTCCCCTCTCAGCTATGCAAGTCGGCCCTCTTTGCGGAGTTTCAGCGGGTGGCGGGGCTGTACGGCCGCGACGATCTCCTGCAGGCCCGCACCTACCATGAGGCTAAAGGCCTGGCCGTAGACTTTGCAGCTGCCAAGGCGTACATGAAGGAGGCCTTCAAGAAGGGCGGGTACGGGGTGTGGATCGAGAAGCCAGTAGAGGAGGAACTCTTCTCACTGTGACCCAAAATGTTCGTAAGAAGTCAAAAGGCAACAATCTTGAAACGCCACCCAGAATTTCTTTTTTAAATGTTCTGCATATTTCACGGGGCCTGTAGTGTCCCCTAAAGAGACCGATGATGTGTTTCCACTGAAGTTGAACCTGTCCGTGATGTTTGGCAACAGAAGTGTACTAAAACACTCGGATGTGAAATGCTGTTTTCAAAATACTTGAACCAGAGTTACTTTCCTGGGTTGAAATTTTAACCCAACGCCCCTTGTATAAAAATACTTCAATTTTCCCCGGGTAATTACACATTCAAAATTTCTCCTTTTTCAGTTATTTCCACAACCAGTTTTGTGAAATTTTTGTGGAGACTTTTACCAGCTTTTGTCTGGGGTCTCCAAAGCTAGAGAGGACAAATTTCATGTAGAAAACTTTTTAGACAAAGGGGCGTGGAAACAGAAAAGGCTGAGACAGAGGCTGTGTCCGAAATGGGCTTCCAGAGCTACGGCTAGGTCTAATGTCTTGGTGTCTTAACGTATTTCCAATGGAGTGAAGACCAAGGCCTAGTTCTAGACAACAGTTTCAGATGCAGCCAGAGACTGCAATATAAATTCACCTTTCTCAGGCCCTAGGTGGCGCTGTTCATTTCTGCCATTCAGTCTTTTGTATGGTACAGTGTTTCAGAAGTACACACAGGAAATGGAAAACAGCAAACGGAACCTGACTTTCCAACTACCGTGTTCCAATTTTCTGTAGTTTCAGGGGGCATATTTTTCTCCAAATCATGCATCATTAAGAGTTCCCTAAGAGTTGGGAGGCAGGCCAACATGGCTCTTCCTTAACAGCAAGCCAGCCAGATCCCTAGAAATTTGTTGACAAAACATGTCGCTGGTATTTTACGGTGACACCATTGACATGTGCAGCATGAAAGATCTATTTTGTGAGTATGTGTGACCGGTTTACTCAACATTTCGGACGATGTGTTCTGTCCATCATTATCAGGAGACTGCTGGATTTTGACTGGAATGGGGCTTAAATAGGTCGAGGTGTTCATGGATCCGTGAAAACTGAAGCCAAGCCACGAGTGCACTGGGGCATGACGGAGTGGCAGGCTAGGTGATGTTCATTCAGGTGAAACTGTGTCACCATTCTCACCTTCCAAGTTCATTTCTCGCTACTGACAAGGATTTCCTGCTTCAAGATGTTGCAGAAAAGAATGAAATAAGTACTTGAATAGATACGTAAACAACCTGAAATAGATCTTTATTCCATCTCAGTTACTGGTAGTACAGATGAATGGATGTGGCTTGATATCACGTATCACTCTGTTGAGACAATCGAAAATAGTTTGGGATCTGGATGTAACAGTATCCGTCGTACATATTTGATTTGACTATTTTTCGTTTATCACCCTGGCTTCAGTTTCTCGGAAGATGTATCACTTTGGACTCTTGAAACAGAGCCACAAAGTTGCGAGTGGTAAGAGCAAGTGGTCATTCTTAGGACCGCCTTCCGTAACTGTGACCATTCCCGTCGTTGTATGCTGAGCAATGGACTGCAAACTTTTCTTCCGTTTGGCATCCAAGCATGAGCAGGCGCGGGTACGGCTGAAGCCAGGGTCGGAATATCCTAGGCACAGTGGGTACTACTTATATTGTGGGGTCTGAAAAAATTTAAGGGATTATGAAAATAGCACAGTGTGCTACGAAATCAAACTAGCTAAAGTGTAAAGCTTAGCCCAGCTTGGCATCAACATTAAATGGGAGGCTTGATCACTTACAGACGATGGGAGACGTAGGGATGCCTTGGGTGGAGTAGGCCCTACAGAACACCTGTGCCCGGGGCCAAGGGAACCATTACTCGGACCCTTGCTGAACCTGTTGTAAGTGGTTATCTGTGGGCCAAGGGTCAACCGGCTAAATGTGGCCACCAGCCAGCCCGTGTCACTCTAATACTGACAAGATGCTTGTTATAGTGTGTTACACATACTTAGAATTAATACTGACAAGATGCTTGTTACAGTGTGTTACACATACTTAGAATTTCTCTCCTCTTTGTATCAAACATCTCCATAGTTGGCAGTTATTGCTTCTTGGCATATTCAGAGATGCCTCTTTCGCATTCTCGTGCAAAGAACAAACAAACTGTTAGTTCTTCAATAGACTGGAGTAACTGATAGGGGCTGGATTGATGTGCGACTCTGCAGCCGAGAACTTTGGAAGAGGGCGAAAATAAGGTCCCACATTTAGCAAACAAGTCTGTTCCATTCCTTTATTGTTCTGAATGTCCCCTGTCCTATATCAAGGCCCTTGTTTTGAAGAGACTCGAGTATTTAGCATTGCAAAGGTCTCGAGGGGGGGAAAGCCTCAATTTTAACACGGATTGCCATGCCTAACTACGATAGAACTTGAGCAAAGAATTATAGGCCTAAGCTCCCATGAGAAGTTGCCATATCCTTCCAAACATACCGCCCCAAGTACTCTTAAGGTATGCCAGAAATTAGTTGTGTGCTGCAACGAACTATCTATAAAATATAACTATGTAATCATATAGATTTTTAATAGTAACTATTATGAAGAAAAGCGTAATTATTGTACACTTCCATGTTTTATTGCTTACATCTCCTATATATATGCAATGTAAAGTGTATAAAGTGCCTTATTTTCGTTTGGGTATTTGCCATGATCGTTTTATGAGTATGTTATGAATATTTTGAGTGGATATTTTGATGTTTCCTAAGTACTTAAGAAGTTTATAGGTATAATGTAATTGATGAACAAAGTTTTAGCTGTGTTTGAAAAGTGTTCTTTTGTTCCAGAAATTTATAGAACTGTTTGAAACTGTTGCTTTCTTTTGATGTCTTTTTGAAGAGCTCTAAGCTTGTAATGAGGAAGATGTGTGACACGTTTGAAAGGTGCAGATCTGGTTTGGGATTTTGTTTTTTGGGGGTTTTTTTGTCAGATCTTCGAGCTTAGAATCGAGTGCAAGCAGGCTACAATTCCTTACCCCGCTAACCCCTTGCAGAATTGGCAAAATGCCAGACAAATTAATCCAAAGGCCCCCCATGAATTTGACTCTGAACTAGATGAGGATACCATTTTTACAACCAGGATATTTGAGGCAATATTTATTAGTAAAGTAGGCACTGGAAAAAGTGTAGTGTAAAAAGCTTTCCATGTTTTCTTTTGGGGAAAAAAGTCGTAAAATCTGAAATAAGTTTTAAAAACGTATTTTTGTAGGCACGCTGATACAAAAGCTTACATGCTTTTTAACGGTATATTTCAGACTATGCAATGTAGAGCCAATGAGCCTGTTAGGTATGTCAAAAACGTAAGGACATTCGAGAAGAAAGCATGCGTGCGAGTCCGTGTACGGCCGCGCTGATAGGTCAGACTTCGCGCGCGCAGACTGCTGGGCATGCGCTGTTGGAGTACCGAACTGGCTCATTAGGAAGCATGCTTGTAGCCAGATGTTAATTCCATTTGTAAAAGTATTGTTTGCACAATATTTGCCGCCAAATGTTGACTGGATCGGAATTGCTAGCCCGAGCTTGTTCATTGTTACAAGTCTTATCTAGATACGATTAGATAGGACCCTTCATCCAAAATCCTTTACTATGCAGAAACCAAGGACGAACTTTGTGTGCATGAACCTTTTTTTGGGGGGGGGGGCCGCACGCACGTGAAAAGAAGAAAAAGGGCTGTGCCTTTCTTATCTTTCTCGATTCTGCAAACTCCTCCAGAAGCCGCAATTGTTTTGAAAGGAGTTTGGAGTGGGGTGTAACATTGGCGAAATGGCTAAGTTTAATCAGCCGCAAGTTCATTATTTAAGTGCAAGTATTGTGTTCCATGGACTGTAGGTTCATAGAGGTTCGAATTCCGTCTCAGTCAATTGAACTGAATTCTATCCAGAACATATTTAACTATCAATTTAGAAGTGTTATACCAATTCAGATTTCTCTCGGCACGTTTATCCTTTCACATCGCAGTGACTTTCAATTAAGCTAAGCAATGTTTTTAGTGCTTTTCTCGAAATTTTCTCTTTTTTCGATTTTAGATCGGAGGAGACAACATAGCTTAACCAAAACATTTCTTCGACTTTTACTTTATCTTGCTATAGCCTTACCGTACATGTGTTTCGTCCGTATTTTTCCGAGATTTCATCGGTTCCCATAAAAATTCTGCTGTCATTCAGTCTCAGATTTATGATGTATGAACCCGCTATTTATTAGCAGAAACTTCACTGTAAAATCATCGATCAGAACGAGAGACAGCCTTCTCGTATTTGTTTTTGCCGTATTATTAATTAAAGAAAGCCATTTTAAGACTTGTTCCGACCTGTGTGACCTGTTTGCGTCTTTTTAATGCAGAAAAAGGAAGTGTTCCCCGAGCGTGCTGAAGACAGACGACGAAAGAAAAGCGAAGTACAAAATACTTCGCCTCCAAATTTTAGACTGATAATTTAAATGTGCACAGTTCCTAACTTAATTGGGCGGCTGAACGATCCACCGTCCGGGTTTGAATCTTGAGGGCGTGTGTATGTTCTCCATTCTCGACTTTTTTAACCGAGTGTTTTAGATAAATATTAGAAACGAGCACTTTTAGTTGTGGACCCAAATTGGATAGTCGGTAGAGGTACCGTCTGCGAAGAGAGTGGTCCCGGGTTCGAATCCCGACCAGGGAACCTGTGGTGGGTCGGAGTTCCGTGGCACTTGTCTAGGATTACTAGATAAAATAAAAGAGTTTTATTCTTTTTTTCGATAAAAAGTACAAGTCAAAAGGAAGTAAAAAGCCCCTCACTGACGACCCCAGGATTCGAACCCAGGACCTCGGGTTTGGCCGTTAGAGTGCCTACCACTAGGCCAACACGCTCTTCTCACATCAAAGAGGTTAAGAAGTGATATATAAATATTCGAGTGCCAACAACTGGAAATAATCAGAAAGTCTGCGCGCATGCGTGTTCGTTCATCATATCAGCTTCAGGATACCTAGGTAATTATTTCCGAGAGGTCATCTTTTAACATGATTTTTACAACTGATTTTCTTTCAAAACTCATTTGATGGTAGATAAATCATTTTCGATATGAGACAAATTGAGCTGGTCATTTCCCGAGACTAATTAAAAGTTTGTTTTCTTTTGTTCCGCTCGGAGCGGATAGTATACAAACTGGGGTTGCAACATCGCGCGACACAAAAAATGCCAAACGCATATATATTTGTCGGGAATATTAATTTTGTTAGTAGGAATGCGACGGTAACGCAAGCATTTCCTAGTCGTCTGTTAACCAGCGGAGTTTAGTTCCGACCAAAAGAGTCTCCGTTGCCAAGAAATAGCGCCCTCTCTTAGTCCGACTCGAGGTCCATTGGCCGGAGAGGAATGTCATGCATGTAAGCTTCACCGTGAGTGCACGTAAAACGTTGCAATCGCGTGGCGCCATTTGAGCAAGCGATACGCCTGCGCAATGGACATTAATGCAAAAGCGCAGGCGCCGCAGTAGGCACGTGCACTTAGCGAGCCTGCGCCGAAGCATTACTGTAAACTGCGCAGGCGTATCGCTTGCTTAAATGGCGCCCTGGTAATTACACCTTTTGGGCAGAGTTATCCATCTTGCGCCTTCGGCGCTATACGATCTTTGGTGCATAATACCACCTGCGTCAGAACAGGGTAGCTCGGCGGTAATGGCTTTTACATGTAATTCTGGTCGCCCGATTTATCCTCACAAGCCAGGTAAAATCATTCGTTCTTCACGGTCATTACAACTGTCTAGCCTTGCAGTAGACTCGACGACAAGTCGTAGATGGTCGTGTTCTGTCTGCCAGCATCAAACAAACGAGGCGAGCAACGAAACGTCTCCGCGCAAAGGTAGAAATACGCGTTGACCGTGCAGATCGTGGGGCGCGCGCGTGGCGAACAAAACCAACGACGGACTTGGCACCAACGGGGCTGAGACTGGAGGAAAGTCAAACATCCACAAAATAACCACCAGAGGTTTTGAGGGCCCGACTGCAGCGCAGGGCCTACGGAAGACATTTGTGTCTGCCTGATGGCGCCTCTTAAAATACCCGTGTTTGTGTTCCATACCAACTTTTATGTGCACCGTTCGTAGTCGGGGGTAGAGCCGCAGGTTGCGGGTTCGAATCCAACCGGGGGTCATGGTATGTGTGCCCTTGGGCAAGGCACATTGTCACTCGTTACCTCTCTCCACCCAGGAGTAATTGGGTACACCGTGAGGGCAGAGATGGTTATTGTAGTTGATTCAGGTGCACTGCGCCGAAATGGCAGCATCGAGCTGTGTAGTCTCTAAGAAGCTGAGATGGTATTTGGAATGTTTGATTGGCCCAGTTAGCAGGGGTAGTACTAATGAAAAAGCACTTGGGATTTTAATTGTATTAGGCGCTTAAGAAATGCGGTTCCTATTGTTATCATTTTATATGTCAAAACAGAAACATCTAAAAACAGATTGTCTAAGAAATCAGGAAAATTCTGAGGGAAAAATTTGGATAAACCTCATCCCAGCACCAAGTCTAGACTGGCACCAATTTGTGCCAGGGGACGGCGATTCCATAAGAGGGTTACAATGTCCACTGCAAGTGATACTTTGAAGATAAACTGGCAATTTTTTGTTTCAATTGAAGACTTTCTGGACAGGCATGATTTCAGACAACGGGTGGCACAGATGCACAGAAGAAGACAGTGTGGGTAAAGCCATCACAGCGTTTACTTTCAAAATTTATTATCCCGGTATGCTCACCTTGAAATAAAATTAGAAATCTCAAGCACATTGGGAATGTTTGGTTTTTATAACTAAACCCTAATTCAATACTTACCTGAAAAATGAAAAAAAAAACTAGTTTCCGACAACACGGAAAGCACATCAGAAGTATTAGGCATACATACACAAGTCAGCGCCTTCAGAACACGGACTCAAAAATTTCTGAAAGTCCATCGTCAATTTGAAATAACTTGCAGGCTTACTGGCATTCAACATACGTTCATGATAGAATTGATCCAAACTTATGCACCTCCGACCAAATTTCCCCAAACATTTGTTGACCCATGCACCAATTTGCCATCCCTAAAGTGCATGCATAGAATGGAGTGGCTTTATTTGGTCACCAGCGAACAGAGTAACATTAAAATCTGCTTTTCTGGAAGCCGTAACAAAATCCTGTATCGTGGGTGTTCTTTTCTGGAAGCAGAAAAGCATTAAGGCAGAGAAATGCAATACTGCAAAATGCTTGTTCTGCTTTTGAGGTGGCAGAAAATAGAGAAGTTGAAAGTTACTCTGATGGTAGAAATGCAGATAGCCACTTGTCGTCCTCCATAAATGGCCGTCAGTCATTTGGAATGGACACCATGGGCACACCAAGCTGGTCCTATCACTGCGGCTACGTGACGAAACATGCACTGAACATGTTTTGGGCCAGGGTCCCAGTTTCTTGTGACTTTGAAACACTACACCATGAGAGTTTTTTAACATTTTTCAAATAGCCCCATCCAGCAACTGCAGCATACGAAAGTGCAACCTTGTCCCCGTGGGTGCTATCTTGCTGCGCCATGTTGGTTCCGGCACCATGCCCTTCACCATCTTTGATAGAATGCATGCACGCAGCCCATGGAGTCAAGGTTGACTAAAAAGTGACCTTATGTGGTCAGTGCCTACGAGTACATTAGGAAGCAAATCGATGTAATGAGTGTGCGTCTTTAAAGGGGCACTGCAGCACTGTCTTTTTTAGGCTGGTTCCCTCATGTGTCAATAATGTGTCAAGCTGGTAGCCATCATCTACTGTTATATAAAATATAACATGTCCACAAAGCCAATTCCATTCTTAGATGCAGCACCCACCAGAGTTTGTTTTTGGGGGGTTGGCATAATTGAAAGTCTGAGCAGAGATCAACATTCAGGAAGATGCCAAGAAAGATTTTCAATTTTTTTCAAATTGTGATGAATGTTTGAAATTCTCCAAAGAGAAACAATAAATCTTCTGCACATAGGACCAATATTCGTGGTACTGATGCAAGTACTTGGGAATCAAAAAAAATTCAGAGTTTCGTTGAAACGAGAGGAATATTCCCACTGATTCAGTCACGTGATTGTGGCGACTACCAGACCTCAAGATCTCTCAAAAAAGGCAGTTTTTTTGGCTCACGAACCAAACTATGCCTCTTGGGGATTCCAACAGAAGGGGAAGCATTTTTCCCAATGTTTGTTACTTCATAAAGTGACATTAGCAGTGAACAAAAGACAAAACATGCAAAAAGATGCAGACAAAGGGAGCAAAAGATATGACCTATTACTTCTCCAGCTATTTCCAAACCTGGACTAGCTTCCTCAGAATACTAAAATATGAACGATTGCCCCTCACTGACACGCCGTCAAATACCAAGAACGACCTGCTTGTTCTTCATACAGCGGGTTCTAATACAAGACGGGCCATTACGGCCTAATTTCAGACAATAAAGTGTAGGACACTACCACTTTCCAACCCCCTGAGACTTTTTTTTTCCGTAAAGAAAAATTCACTTTTACACCCTGTCTCAAAAGGTGGAACAAAGATTCCACAGACTGTCCAAGACAACGGTAGACTTCTTTTGCCATGGGAGAAACAATCATTGGTCCCATATTGGTATCAAAACTTTAGTAACATCGCTAAAAAACGATTATGTACAGGCAACATGATGACGTAGACGGATTGGCATTATGTACAGACAAAGGATCTGCAGCACCCTTGGCCAAATTACGGCACAAAAAATTACTGTTGCACTCGGCAAAACTAAGTAATTTGACAGACTCCGGGAAGTATACAATTCTCAACCAAAATCCCTGATTTCTTTTATCAGACGTTTCGTTTTAAATCAAATTAAAAAAACAGGATGGCTTGGACCTCCTTACTGCATAGCTCTTGATCAGAAACCAGATCTCCAGGATTAAGTATTAAAAAACATCGCAGAAACATCTGGAGAGTTCCGTGTCTGGCTTCCGAAATGTTCCAGCTTCATTACCACAGGCTGGCATTTACAAACTCAAAACAGACCAAACTCGGAACTATTTTTCCCCCCACAAAACTTGCAATCACACCTTCCAAAATTACAGCTTCCCCGTTTGGAAATGCAGATTGCACCGAGGATCGCTTCCTGGTGCCCGACGCCAGCATTAATACTGTGGGCTGGAGCCTTCTTGCGGGCTGTACGCTGTGCTCCAGAGTTTGGTGGGCGAGCGCTGTTGTTGCTGCGGATGGTGTCGCAGGGAGGTGTCGAAGGCTGACTGGTAGGGACTCTGCTGATAGGCTGAATAAGGAGGGAATATGACATTTCTTTACCCGAAGAATTATCCCAGTGTAACACTGATTAGGGAACGTTTCATAATGACAGAAGGCGGTATTTACTGCGGTTCCGCCGTTTTTTTGCGGTACCAGCATTAAGCCCTTTCGGGTAACTAGTGCGGTGCCGCTAAAAAAACCAGCGGTACCACAGTAAATACTGCCTTCAACAATTATGTTGAAACTTTTGAACAAAATATGTTGGATATATGTATTTTTTTGGTGTGTTTGTTAACAATTCATATGTGAGCTACACACTTACCAGGGGAGTGTGCCAAATACGGAGGGGGAGACCCCGAGGGTGGGGTTCGCAGGAAGACTCCCGTGTTTGGTGGGACTGAGTAGTAGCGGGGGGCCAGCAACAGATGGTAACCTGATGAATGAAACAATGTATATGCATATAATTATGGAAAATGGTTAATTTCTGTCTTTCCTTTACTAATGTTATCACAGAGCTCTTCCAAGGTAAATCTTTCAAAAAGAAGATGACATCTTCGAAAAGTAGAGCGTCACAATACAAAAAATCAATAAAGCTGTGGGGTTTCATCTGCGCGAGGATATCTCAAGAATTTTACAGACACGCTGCTGGGAATGGCCATCATTTTTCAGCTTGCATTTATCGGAGGTAATCTGTCATTGTTTTGAAACAGTATACCACTGTTTTGGGCATAGCGCACCCACGGATTAGCACCGCGGACAAAAGTGCTCCAGCTCCCTGCTGCTTGCTAATCCAGTCATGTTTGAAAAGACGCCACTGGCATTCACTGGGAACAAAGGCAATTACGTAACACTTCACAATTCTGGGCTCTCTTTACAGGGCGGCAGGCCTGGCTAAAATACTTGGGGGTCAATGGAGGTTACACATCAGACTAGAGTAGACACCAGACAGTCATTCGTGTGGGTGTTAACATGAATTTTTGAAGAATTTTTAAAATGGAAAAGCTTGAAAATCACCGGTATGTAGGCACTAAATTTTCAAAAGCACCAGGCTTATCTTTTCAATGCTGACATTTTCTTGCAACTCGTGGAATCACCTCCAGTTTTATAAATTTTCTCAATTCACTGGTTCCCTCTCTCTGACGCATCGTGAAAGAGTTTAGTGAGAACGAGCAACAAAACTGTGCCGCAACGTCAGGTGTAAATAAAAAGAAGATGGTCAGACTATGGGTCGACTTGTAGCTTGCGCCTCGACCCGCCCTCGTTTCCCACGACACGGCTTACTTACAGATGAGTACCATACCGGCGATGGCCAGAATCACGATGAGCAGCAGGATCCAGTAAGGGTAACTACTGAAGATGACTTGCAGCACGCGAGCCCAACCCGTCAGCTGGGGCTCTGGAAGGTCGGGACCAAAACAAAACACAGCATAAAAGTCACAGGGTTTGACAGGTGGTTCTTTCCTCGCCTTTCACCCCTGAGGCCCGAGGTTCGATTCCCAGCTCGGTCCATGGCTAGATTGGGTTTTCGGGTCGTTACCAAATTACGTGGGTTTTCCTCCGGAAAACTCTTCTGGGCTTTTCTCCCCCATCCCAACTCTAAAAACTGTAACTGCTTTTCGTTGTCTCCTCTCAACAGGTATCCTCAGGCTTGTGAGCTAGAGCCCTCACGGTGGTTTTTTAGTAACCCCTAGTTATATTATCAGAAATATTTGACGACGATAATGAAGAATGAAAAATAAATAAATTTTAAAAAATCAGATCGTTCACAAATTAGACAGACCCAGAATACCCAGAACATTGTAAATAGGTAAAGGGAATGGGTGAAGTCCTTAATAGTCGCCTTCAAAAGGCAAGCCAATTTGGAGTACTGCTGTTTTCTTTTCCAGCCCCGGACGAAAAAGGGAAGGACAAAAATCCAGCCGAAGAATTACTCACCGGGGGCGGGTCGTTCCACCAACGGGACTAGGTTGACCCCGACCGGTATGACCGACTTCTGGCCTGTCAGGCTGTCGTACAGCTCCACCTCCGTCGTCTTGACCACCGAGTCGAACTGGCGCTGGGCAGCGTCCACCAGCTGGACGGGGTAGTGCAGGGTGTGGGCGTTGACACTGTAGGGCTTGGTGACCTGGATCAGCTGCGAGTCGGCCACGGTCACCTGAAGGACAGGAAATCAACACAGAGCTGCGTTGGCCAAAGTGTCGGCCAAAGTGTCATGCAAAGTACATGTACAGTTGGGGCAAACAGTTTACATACGGCACACCTGCTAGAACAAAAAACAGTTTTCCTCAAATTTCACAACTTCACTCATTCCTACCAACTTGTGTTTTCATGAGGACGGACAAGATGGGTGTATGCGCCAAATAAAAACACCCAGCGACATATATGTACATGATTCCTATTAACATTTACCAAAAAAATCAAACTTTTACATACTCCAACCGTAATATTTAGGGCCACTTTCAGTATTTTTGTCACATCTCAGAGTCACAGTGGACCACTTTCTGAAGAGTTCTTGAAGTGTACAGTACGTACGTTACGCGTCCTGAGCATAATATGCATATGACGTAGGTTGTTCTATGTGGCCTCCTTTTCTGTCTACCATACCCGGCTAGTTGGTCAGAACCGGAGTTTAGAAATCTGGGTCCAGAGTCAAGACACTGACAGAGCGTACCACTCTGCTGCTAATGAAGCCTTCTGGATTTTTACACTAACTTGAGGGGTATAAATTTTCACAAAAAAGTCACTTATGGACTGGACACTCTTCATGGGCACGGATTTCAAGGGGCATTCTCGGTGCCTGCCATTGGCTCTGATGATTAGAAAACATGGCGCCCTCTATCGTTTAGCATGATGTCCATTGGACTGATGAATTTTGTTGAGAGATTAACTTTTTTTTTCTCTTACTCTGCAGAACCGAAGCCTGATAGAAATCAGTTGTGGGTACTCACCCTCAGCGCCTTCAACGTAGCCTCCACCCCCTCCACGATAATGGTAGCGTCCTTCTGGGCCAGGCCCAGCGACAGGTGCGCCGGGTGGATGTGGGCCGGTGGGTGGAAGGCAAAGGTGGCCACCTCTGACCTGACCTCCAGCTGGCCGGGCACGGGACGGGCAACCGCGACAAGGGTCAGGTCAGCCTTGAGGGTGGCCAGGTAGCTAGGGGCATGCTTTGATTGGACCTGGCTCACTCCACAGAAATACTGACCTGAAAGTCATCAAAACAGTGACTCTGAAAACGGGCCATTTTTTAAGTTTACATCAACAAGAGCATGGCCTCCTTGCCGCGATTTGGGAACTGCACATGATAGTTTTTCTGATCATGCGCTGTGCGGGCTCCTCACGTGAATGAAAATAACTGCCACAAAAGTAAAGCCCGCACATGAGCTACCACCTTCGACGGAACACTTACCAGTCTGCACGTTGAATCCTGGGAAGGTGTGGAACAGCTCGCCGGCCTGGACGCGGACGCTGCGGTCCTTGAAGGCCAGCTGGCACTGGAAGGGAGGGGATGGTAGTTCCTGCCTCAGGCTTGAGAGGAGACTACTACAATTATCACCTGCAAAACAACGAAGGGAGATTATCTGATATAAATACACAGCTGCAACGTTGCCTCTAGCACTCTGGAGGCCATGCCAGATACTACTGGCTATGGCTTTAATAGCCAGACACACAAGTCTATGAGAAACAGATGCAGCCGCTAGCCAGCGACTTCCATAGATGCACGTGTTATGGTCAGCCACAGCCACAACTTTTGACCACAGCATCATGCAGAGAAAACCGCTGGTACTGTTTTCATTTTATGACCTCGGTGTAGGCCACCTTCATTTGAATAATCACAAATCAGAACTACTTTCCTTGGGATTTCCCAAATTTGGCCCTCTCTTCCTCTCAAGCCTTAGGTTTCCTGCATTTTGCGTAACTCTCTGTCTTTGTGGGCATCTCAAAAGTCAGAAACGTTCACGTTCCATTGGACTATTGAACACTAGCGCTCCATTGGAACGTTTTTCAACAAAACACGTCCGTCAAGTCCTGATCCGCTCCGAGCGGGAACAAAAGCGGGGCGTGTTTTACATAGCAACAGCGGTGAGTGCCGGGTGAGTGCACAATCCTGGCCTCAGAACCGCCCACCAGCATGTCTTCTCTTTGCCGTTGAGGACGCCCTTCAACCCAGGGCAGACACACCACCCAAAAAAATCAGATCTTTTTAACTTTGATGTTCTGTTTAATAACAAAAGCTCACCTTTGAGACTGGGCTCTGAATTCAATGTGACCGGTATCTCGTAGCCTCCTTCGCGTGGCACTGTGGTGAAAAACGGCACGGCCTCTCTCTCAAGAGTGATCTTGTTGATGGGCACGACTGCCACCTGATTGAGCACAGAAAAAGGAAAAACGAATCATATCTTTTGTCAGTGCATTAGTGAAAAGCCCATTTTTTTCCCCAATGCATGGCCGTCTCCATAGATTTTTATGGCAAGGTCTGGGTAAAGTATCTTCACGAAATTTCCTGACAAGACAAAATACCAGCTAAGTATGGTTACGGACTACCGCTAAAAACATCTGACAGTGGATACTCCATGTCACTAACTCTCGGCTGAATGTCGCTTCACAGAGCAAAAAAACACAGAAGAAAACAAGGTCGTCAGGGTTGAGCCTTAGCCCTTATCCAATTGATACGGCTATGGCTAGGAGTGATACCGATATATGTATGGGAAGGAGCAACAGCCGGCAGCGGATGGATCCCATAGGCGTGCATGCTATTGCGTCATTCGGACAGGGCCCTCACCTCAGCATGTGTGGCAAGGCTGGTGGCAATGTCATGGTGCAGCCTCGTCTGCCCTGGTCGGTTTGCCACGGCAACCCCACTGCTGCCATCCAACTGCAGCACAGAGCTGGTGCTGGATCTCCAGGACCCTCTCTGACCTGGAATGTGGGGAGATTTGTGATTGGCGGATAAGAACTTTCGGCACTTGACACCGACCAATCACAGCAAGTTTTACTTCTCAGATACAAGATATGTTTTTCTTTAGTAACTAAAGATGAGGTTCAATTTGAGAGAAAACATGATCAAAGAAACAACAATCTAGTAAACTCTTAGACCTGAATAATTTTTCCATTCACCCATTCCACATTTCTTGAGGCACCACATTTTCAACCTACCCTCCACAGTCAGTAGAGGTGACCTGAAACATATCACGTCCCCAACAACAAATGTCTGGCTGGGCTGTACCACGCTACCGACGGGGATGTTCACGTAGTCCTCTATCCAGGGGCTGTTCTTATCCCAGACCTACCAACGTCAACGAGAGAAACTCGGCTCTTGAGCAAAATAAGCTTTAAATAAAGGATCCACTATTCTGAGCACTTTTGCGCCAGGTCATTGTCATGTTCAGGAGTCATGAAAAAAGTGTAAGTCATGAGACATGACCTTGGCCAATCAGGAGACAGAGTCTGTGGAAGGCGCTACACAGTGGGAGGTCTTACCTTGAATATGGTGCTGCCGATGTGAGCTGCCTGGGCGATGAAGGTACCATTGTCAGGACCAGCCTGTAATCGCAGGAGATCAAACCTGACAAAAAAGATGATAAACTCATTGATGGCAGAAAAAACTGAAAAAAAAACACGAAGTACAAATATTCCGGTAGCTTTGATAAAATCCTTGAAATCCCTGGTCTAAGTTCTGGAAGTACAAGAAAGAAGCAGCTCTAGACCACTGCTTATCCGGGCTCTGTCCACTGTCAAGAAAATTTGCTGGGGGGAGGTTTCCATTTCAATGTTGCAACCTGATAACGCTTGTCTCTGGTTTGGCTCCTTCAAGACAGTCAGTTAGGGATATCTTAAGCTTTAAACTTACATTGCTTTGAACCGTCTTGAACCCACTGAGAAGCGTTTAGCTTCAATTTTACCCTTGATATTTCCATTTCACAATTGCTTGGAACTGTCTTGAACCTTATTAAATGTACCTCTCTATGCAGAAGCAAAGGGCAAGTACCCTTGCACTTGGTTTAAAGGGCAAGTACCCTGGCACTTGGTTTAAAGGGCAAGCCCATTGGAAAGTTACCACAGTTGAGTTTAATCTTCCTCAATCCCGCAAAATCTTCCTTCACTACTTCGCACCGGTGGCAGTTATCAATGTTGATATACTGCCTCAAAACAAGGCTGGATTCACTCCACTAAAGAGAGTGAAAAAAGTTGGTAATGCCCAGCAGCCTGGTCTTTTGTTACAAGGCCCAGTTCTCTTTGTCCAATTTTGGAGACCCCGGCCACGTGTATAAAGAATACGCGTCCGGTACCAGAAACCCCCGCGGCAAGTGGTTAACTTTGTTTGTAGATTTTGAAAGTTGGGACTAAGAGATTCAATACCTGCTTAGCCTGTGCTCCAGAACAGTGTTGGTGGCCTGGAACTGGTCCCCGACGTTATCGTAGAAGGCTACGGCCAAGGAAAGAGTGATCCCGACCGGGAAGACGGCCAATTTCTCCCCAGGGCTGGTTGGAAGGTTGCTGGAGGAGTGAATGGCGATGTAGGACACCGGCTTGACCTGGAAACAGATCGAAATGGTTTTAACAGCAGCACTGCTTTGTCAGCATCAGTTTCAATGAGATAGGTTTGTGAGGACTTCAGGCTGACTTCCGAGGACTTTTTGGTTGCCTTGTGATGGGCTTGCAATGGCCTGTGGTTGCACTGGGACGGCTGCTATG